ATATATATATATATATATATATATATATATATATATATATATATATATATATATTGATAAATTGAAAAGCAAAAAAAAAAAAAACAATGAAAGAAGCCAAACTTAAGATCCCTAAGGATCGAATTTTTTTGTTTTTTTTATGTGGCTTAACTTTCATTGGGGTTTAAAAAAAAATAAAATAAATTAATGTGATAAATTTTCTTTGAGAGACAGTCGTTTGTAAGATTTAAGAGTAAAAAAATAGAGATAAAAAAAAAAAAAAAAAAAAACAAATAATTATTTTTAGCCGTTGAGTTTTTTTTAATTAAAAAAAATCTATTGGGCAGTTAATAATAAGCGATTTATCGAAGTGGCCGATTTGTTTTGACTTTCTCCAGCACTTACCCTGAGTCGATCAACGGTGGATACTATGCGGGAGCATTACCAATCCAACAGGCCCATTCGACGACGCCCCACGATTCAGCACCTCCGCCACCTGGAGGTCACTCCGCCGTTGGCGTAGCTAGTAGTGCTGGTCCAAATTCTTCGGCGGGAGGTGGGAATGCCGGTCCTACCGGTCCCGCGGGGCCAACGGTAGGCGGCGCCGGTGCCGGGGGTCCAGCGTCAGCCCCACCGACTGCTGGATTACCCGGTCTACCACACAGCATAGTGAGCGAGCCTGACCCCCGGCCAAGTCCACCTGCTCCGAGTCCTCGTTGACCTTGAACCCCCAGCGGTATCAACAACTTTCAGCACCACCACCACCAACACCACCTCCATCATCCTCCGACCTAACAAACCTCCTCCTCCTCCTCCCAAGAACATTATCATTGTCATGGTAATCATTCTTAAGATAATCACTCTGTGCACCGACTAAAGACTAATTACTAAATATTAATGACCCTGACCTACATCACCGCTATCAGACTCCACATCGAAACAACAAGATTATATTGGATATAATCTCAGATTACCGTGAGTGAAAAATTTTTTTTTGGATAGTAACTAGTATAATCCAGATAACAATCAGTATCATCCAGATTATAATGAGTACAATCCAGATTATAATGAGTATAATCCAGATTATAATGAATAAAATCTGAATTTTTTTTAGCTACTATCTAAAATTTATTTTCACCACAGATATCACTGATTATAATCTGGGATAATATCCAGTGTAATCTTGTTTGTTCCATGCAGACCTTCGACGGGACTTATTACTAATTTTGACAGCTACAATGGAAATTTATTATTTAAAAATAAATATTAAAAATAAAAATTAAATAAAAACAATTATTGTTATTATGAGGTAATTAAATTATGACACTTGAATTAATTTTTAAATTAATTAAATTTATAAATTTATAAACAACAACGCCATTATTAACTATTGACAGTGCATTATTGTGAAGAAATGTATTCCAAAATCTGTCTACTGCTTCCGAGATAAATAATTTAAGGAAAGTAAGAACGATCGGACGAGAGAATGATTAAGAGTGGGAGTATATAAGTTTAATAATAAAAAAGAAAGAGAGAATTTAAGTATAACCTAGTAGTGTAAGACAGTGGAAATGAAAAAAAAAAATTAAATAATAATTGAAAAAAAATGAAAAAAAAATAATTTAGCAGAAAGATGTTAAGAAGAATTATGATTGAATTGTGTGAGAGGTAAATAATAAAATATGAAAGAGAGAAAGAGAGAGAGTGCGTTTGCTTTTGCGTTCGTGAATCTCTAGCAGTAATGTTGTGTATTTTTTTTTCTTCTAGTTTTATTTAATTGTGGAAATTAATTACGGCACAAAATTATTTTTGAGCGATTCCTCCTATTTGATCTGCGGCATCGCAATTACCGGCAAATATGTGTAAATTGGCATTTATACACATTGCCATTATATCATTTAATTTTTTTTTTTTCTTCTTTATTATAAACATAGTAATTATATTATTTTAATTTTAATATTATTATTATTATAATTAATTATAATTATTTTAGTGATTAAAAAAGCTTCGCCGTTTTTAATTCCATTGATCGAGTTTGTTGGTTCACCCATAATAAATAATTTTTATTTTTAAATGTAATAACAATATACTTATTATCATGCACTAACATTGTTTTATTTTTTTTTTTTTTGGCCATACTTTCACTGGTGGGAGGAGGTGGATCGATTTTTATGGAAGTGGATACAGAGGAATAAAATTATTTATAAATGCTATGCGATAGTCTTTAAGATAGCGATTAAAAAGAAGAAATAAAAATAACATAATAAGGGAAGAAATAAATAATTCTAATGTTTGTGAGATCGTACAATTAAATATTAATGTTAATTATATTTACAAATATAAATATATAATTATCAATTAATAAGTAAATACCGCGTTTGTATAAATATTTTTTTTTTCTTCATTATTACACGGAAAAAATAAGATGACACTGGATATCATCCCAGATTATACTCAGTGATATCTGTGGTGAAAAAAAAATTTTTTATGGCTAAAAAAAATCCCGATTCTATTAAGTGAAAAAAAATTTCAGATAGTTAAATAAATCCAGATTATACTGTATGATATCTGGATTACACTCATTATAATCTGGGATTATATTCAGTGTTATCTTGTTCTTTCTGTGATAAAAGTGTAAAATTTTTATTTAATTTATCTAGATCTCTTTTTTAAATCGATCTAAAAAAAAACTTCCTCCCGGAATTAATTTGTTGTAGAAAAAAAATATTGTGGGTACTCGCGATGGTAGACACTTATACCAATTAGAATTAATTTTTATTTTAAAAAAAATTGTATTGATAAATAATTATGTGCGTGAATATTAAATTAGTTGCTGGAAAAAGAAGAAAAAAAAAAAAGAGCAAGTGTGAGAGTATGAGCGTGTAAGAATGCTATTCAAGTTTTATTAATTGATAGTTATAATGAGTAATTATATTAAGTAAATTTAATGCGATATTACAACTTAAATATATTATTAACATGATGATGATTATAATATATCACCGATATAAACGTCATTATGATAGAAAATTTTTCGATTAATAAATTTACTAATTAATAATAATTATTGATAATAAAAAAAAAAGATAAAATTTATTTTAGAGACCGACATATCTTTTAGTTTTATTATTATTTACTGTAATTATTTTTTTGGTTATTTTTTATCCAACTACCATCGCGGCTGGAGTCACTCCAGATTTATTTTATTAATTTTAATATTTATAATAGCGATGCCTGCAGCAAGAAATCGTGAGTGCTAAAAATAAAGTTGTACTTTAATATAATTATCATTTTTTTTTTTAAGTAATCTTAGCGATCAATTGTCTCTTTCATTTACTGATACAGCTCCAAAATTTTTTTCGTGAATTGAAAATAATTTTTTGATATTATTGGCTAAAATAAGGGTCTTATAAAAAAATTTTTTAAACAAAAGTTCAAAATTTTATTTTATAAAAAAAATGTCTTATTTTAAAAATAAGATTTATAGTTATCAAAAAAATTGAACTTTTAATTATGAATCTTAATTTGGGAATTCCAGCTGAATTTTTTTTTTTTTTTTTTTTTTTTTTTTTTTAATTAAATTAAACAATTTTTTTATAAGACCAATATTTTAGCAGTAATATAAAAAAATTAGAAAAATTTTGTCTAAAAAATTATTTTATCTATTAAAATAATTTATTTTAATTAAAAATTGAGAAGCTTTGATCGTTAATGAAGAAATAAATAAAGAAGAAAAATAATTCACACTTAATTTTTTTAAAAATAAATTACCGACACTGCAATCAGTATTTAAACTTTTAAAATTAACAAATATTATTTTAGCAATAAATTAACATCCACAGGCATAATAATTGGTAATTAGTAACCACCATTTTGCACAAAATAATAATTAAAAAAAATTATTTTAAAATGTTTGCTTAAAAATACATCATTATTATTATACATTAGAGAAGAGTGAACGTAAGAGAATGCAAGAAGTGTAAATGACTTTGAGAGCAAGACATAAAAAAAAGAAGCGTTGATGATTTTCATTTAAACAATATTAGTGAGGCAAAGTAAAATAAAAAAAAAAGAAAAATGGCGTTATATAAATCCTCACATATTAAAAAAAAAAAAAAAAAAAAACAAAAAAAAAAGTAATTTTAATTATAACAGTATCACAAGAGGCCTCCTTCCTTCTCCTAAAATAAAAGCGTTAGGTTTTGAACGAAGAAGAAATAACATGTGTATTTAAAATTAGTTACTCTATTATTTTCTTGTATCACTTGTATATTATTTATCGTCTTTATTATTCTTCTTTAATTAATTAATTAATTAAATTAATGCATGTATATAATGTATGTATGCATGATTTATATACATGCAGTCTCGATTAATGTGGTGGATATAATTTAAGTTTATGAATTTAAGCTACGGGGGATACAACTTAATAAGCCAGTGGACAATTTGAGGAAGACAAGAGTAACTAAATATATTATTAATAATATTAATAATAATAATAAATAAACAAGACAAGACATTAAGGTGGTGTGAAAACCGCAACATTAATATTAATTATAATTAATAATATCTATTATAATAAATACAATATTTGTACAATAATCAACGGTGCTGTGGTGAATGTTGCGGGCTTCTGCACCCGAGACCGTTCCCTTTTTCTGACCCTCTACTTCGACCAGCGTTACATTACCCCCCTTTTTATTTTATTTTTTTATTAATAATTAATAATTAGTTTATTAATTAATTTAATAATTTTTTTTTTTTTTTATAAATAAGCATGTCGTTAATTACAACAATAAGTATTTATATTTATATTTTTATAATTTATACTAGATCACTTTTATAAAACCAAGAGTCTTTTTTTTTTCTTGACTTATTAGTGCAGCTGAAGCAACAATGCAACATTGAGATCAATATTTTATTTTATTTATCGTTTCGTTGGCGAGAATTTTTTTTTACTATTTATTTCGTTGTAAATTCGATCCTGGTCGGATGACTGTGGAGATCCGACTACTGGACTGCATGTTAATGTTATTATTATTATTATTATTATTATTACTATTATTATTAATATTATTATTATTAGTAGTAGTAGGATTATTATTATTATTATTGTTAGTATTAGAATTATTATTATTAAGTTTACCAAATAACGACCAGCCTGTGGTATGTCACGTTAAAGAGCCACCGTGGACCCTCATGTGCCTATTGAGATTTCCACTTTGGCTGAACCGTAGTAAGCACAATTTACACTGATACGGCTTCTCTCCAGAATGAATTCTCAGATGCTTCGTCAACGTTGAGCTATCCGAGAAGGCTTTCTTACAAAATCGACACCTAAAATTTTTTTATTGTATTATTTAGGAGAATTTTTTTTGGAGAAATTAAATATTCTTGTTTTAAAATTTTTGGAAAATAAATAAATAAATGGTAGGTTTACTCACCGATAAGGACGTTCTCCGGAGTGAGTTCTCATGTGCGTCGTAACTGAGCTACTTTGGGAAAATCTTCGGTCACACACTGGACATCTAAATGGTTTCTCTCCAGAGTGTGTTCTTGCATGGGCTGTTAAATTTGCTGCTTGGCTGAATGCTTTCGAACAAGCGTGACACCTAAAATATTTAATTATCATCTTCATTATTCTTTATAATTTAGAAAAAGTGAAAAATTCACCTGGTTAATTAAATAAATATTTTTTTTATTTAATTATTGAATTAGAATTTTTTTTTTTTTATTAACTAGTTACTATTTATTATTAAAAAATCAGCAGACAATTTTTAATAAATAAATGAGTACTAAAAAAATAATTTTTAAAAATTACACACGTTTTTTTTTTTAATTTATACAATTAAAAAATTTTTTATTAATATTCTTGATAATTTATTTATGAAAAATAATTAATAAAAAATTACAAAATAAAGAAAAATTGACTTAGTAATTTAAATAAATTTTTTTATGCAATTATTGAATTTAAATTTACTCAAAAAATTTTTTTTTAATTAACTAGTTACTAATTTATCATTAAAAAATTAGCAGACAATTTTTAATAAATAAATAAGTACTAAAAAAATATTTTAAAAAAATTGCACATTTTTCTTTTAATTTATTTAAAAAAAAAATTTTTTTTTAATTGTCTGGTAATTTTAGATTTGATACTAATTTATAATAAATTAATGATAATTATATATTTAGTTTAATTAAGTAAAAAAAATCACCTAAATGGTTTTTCACCAGAATGAGTCCTTAAATGAGTCTTCAAAGTGCTCGGGCGTGCATAAGTTTTCCCACAAATTCTACATAAATTCGGCCTGCCATTGTCATCGCTAGAATTAGATACAGCTCCGGAAGCGACACAGAGCGCGTGCTCGTTCGGTGGTTGCAATCTCGCATGGGGGTGAGAATGCGGGGTGTGTGATCCGATGATTCCATTGGTCGGGACTTGATTCACCCTCGACTGGGGCTCAGGCACGGGGTTGTATTGAGGGGCGGGACTCAGCAGAGGCTCCACGCCCCACGCGGATGCATAATTCTGCTCGTAGCTGTCAATATCAATTAAATGTAAATATTAACACAATAAAATCTTTAAAGAAGATATTTAAAAATTTACCCAGGATGCATGTTCATGTTCATCGTCATGTTCATCGAAACATTGACCGACATTGCAGGTCCAGTCGCGTAATGACTCGGAGGAACAGGTGGAGGCGCCAAGTTTTGGCCATAGTCTTGAGAATAGTGGTGGTTAGCATTCGGCGGGCTGTAGTATCCGCTTGTCGGACTCCCAGGATGCACAACAGCGTGTTTTAGCGAGAGAAGAACGTCAGCTACACCCTCGCCGTTGGGATTCCCTGGCCTGGGTACGCAATCTGATCTCGTGCATCCCCAGCTATGTATTAAATTAAAAAAAAAAAAAAAAAAAAAAAAAAAAAAATGATTAATTGATAATATTAAATTTTCTCATTTAAAAATAATTTTTCTTATATTTCTTTAAGAAAAAATCTTTAAAATAATTAATTTTTAAATTGTGCAATAACAATAACACAAATTTAAATAATTACTTTTTAAAAAGACCTTTTTAAATTATTGATATAAAAATGGTGAATTTAAAATTCAATTAATTATTTTTTTTTTTTTTACAAATTATTATTTATTTAGCTTCTATAAAAAAAATATCACTTGCTGTGAGCACGATTTTTTTAGTTTTAAATTTAAAAAGTCCTTTAAAATAAATAATTTATTTGAAAAATTATGAAAAATATCTATTCTTAATAAAATGACTATAAAAAAAAAATTATTAAGAAATTTTATCCTTAAATTGTTTACAAAAATATAAAATAATTATCAAATAAAATTTTTTTAAGCACTTGAATATAAATTATAAAAGTTAAATAACAAACTTTATTTATTTATTAGTTAGTTATTAAAAATTTTTAAATTCCGTCCCGAAGTCCGACATGATATTTAAAAAACAGTGCAGAAATTTTATAATTGTTTTCTGTGTAAGTTTCTAAAATCCCTTAAATTATTTTAAACTTGAAATCTTAAATTTCAAAATCATCCACCATTAATTTAAAATTTAAAAAGAAATTTAAAACCACACTGAAAAAAAAATTAACTTGAATCAAGAAAAAAAATTCTTAAATTAAGTAAAATTTATTTAAACCAAGAAAAATTTCTTAGCTTCAAAAATTTTCGCAAATCAAAATTCTTAAAAATTATTCAAATAAATTTTTTTTTGTCCACCACCTTAAAAACTCTCCCCACAAACTCACTTATAAGTCGCAGAACAAGGACTAAAAAGCCCAGGAGGTAAAGGATCTAGATCCAAAGGCGGCAAAGGGAATCCCGCCATGTCGTCGACCCAAAAACTGGCCCCAAATTCCCCAACAACTTGGCCCTGTCCTTGGTTCTGAGTATGCTGCTCGTTGATGTCGTCGTTAGGGCTGGCCTGCAGCTCCTGGAGACTGCCTAGAGCAATGGCGGCATCTTCGTGCTGCTCGTGGTCATTCAAAGTGTCTTCACTCCCTAAGACTCCCAGAGAATTGCCACAAAGTCCACTAGGACCACAAGGGCCACAAGGGATGCTTGCCTCGATCCCGACCGGTCCTGAAGAGTACAGACCCAGAGCTGTCGAACACACACACTACTGATCATTGATCCTCGAAATTTCTTAGATATTAATAATAGACTCACCTGTGCCGAGGGTGTAACTCGGCTCCGAGCTGTTGGCTGTATGGTGGTTTTGCAGAAACTCCATCTCGGTTAATTTCTGGAGCGTTTGTTACCCCTTGCTTCCCGTATCAACTCTATATTATATATCTATATATCTATATATATTGTAGATATTCAGCCTCCCTCTCTGGATAAAGTGGTCCAGCCCTCGTCGTCCTGGCAACGGCAACTCCAACTCCAACTCTTACTCTAACTCCAATCCGCCGGTCCCGGGCGTTTTGATTTTTTATTTTATAAATAACGCCGCTATTGAGCCAGACATTGTTTCTCAACATACTCTCTAAAATAAAATTAGTTAAATTTTTACTAATTCAGGCAGTGAAAATTTTTTCACTGTAAAAGTAGTGATTTTACTACACAGAAAAAAAAAAAATTTACTTGAATCAAGTAAATAATTTTGAAGAATTTCATCTTGTTGAAAAAAAAAAAATTTACTTGAATCAGTAAATTAATTTTGAAGAATTTCATCTTGTTGATTTGAGTAGAAAAATTCTTAAACTAAAAAATTTTTATTGGTTTAAATAAATTTTATTTAATTCAAGAATTTTTTGTCTTGATTCAAGTTAATTTTTTTTTTTTCAGTGTAGATTAATCAGTGGACCAGTTTTCACTACCTCAATTAGTAATTTTAAATTACACTAATTCAAAAGTCTTTTTTTATCAATTAGCAGTTACTTTGTCACTAATTCTACTAGTGGTTTTAAAATTTACTAATTACGCAGTTGTTTCTACTCGTTTGTCAGTGACTTTGTCACTGATTGTATCAATGTCTTCAATCTTCACTAATTTAATAGTGACTTTTCAGAAATTGTGAATAAATAATACACCGATGTTATTTGTGATTCCTTTTTTCACTGATTTAATAATAATAGCGCTTGCACTTAAATTATTAGTAAAATCTTCACTAATTTTCGAGTATCATTTGATATCGCTAATTGTTGAAGTTAAAAACTACGATGCAGTCAATGAATATCTTACTAAAATTACCTGTAATTTTATTTTTCCCAATTTAGTCGTAAATTTCATTGTATACCACTCTACTTTTTATGAATATACTCACACACATTTTAATAAAAATAAATATAATAAGAGTTTTTTCACTCAACAATAAATTGAATAAATAAAATAAATATCAGCACATGGATCTCTAAATAGCTATCGGGAAAAGTACCAGTGTGTCAAGGGCTTCGCGGGAAACCCGCGAGTTATTTCATCCGCTGGAAACCCATGCGTTTTCCACGTGCACTCTGGAATTTAAATTTCAACATTTCTTCCTTGTATCCTCTGGTATAACTAACGTCTTTTTAAGCCACATTTTATCACAGCTCTACTAACAAACAATAAAACATTAAAATAAAATATAAGTAATTAACAATTAATTAAATACAATAAAAATATATATGAATTTTTGGCACACCACTGGGATAAAAACCTCCCATTATTTCTTCCAAGTCCAAGAATAGTGCTCATTCGCACCCCTTGACTGACTGACAAGTCAAACTTGACTACCTATCGTCCAGTGACAACCCCACTACAACGTCCTAAGTCGCACCCGCTTCTCCAATGACGCTTCTTCTTTCTTTGTCTTTAACACAAATATCCAAGTGACACTTTGATACTTGGAGTTTTTTTTAATACATTATTATAGGTAGTGTGGATACTTGTTACCTATAGTTGTGTCTTCGTCGGGCTTGGTTGTATTGGACAGTTGGGGATGCCGAGAAGATGGTGTACCAGCACACGCGTCCAGGTACCAGGTTCCTTCAGGAGGATATAATAATTGATCTTCCACAACGATCCCAGGGAGATAGATCCATAGGGATATATTGTTACGACACCCGGCGAGCATGGTGGTCCTGCCTCGTCGTTCAAACGAAAACATCAGGATCATTCGCTCGTAATGCCTTCCCGAGGATTACTTTCGCCAGGCAAATGTTAATGTCGTGATAATTGTGCCATCACGTGTACCAAAATTTATTTTTGGGTATAAATTTGGATAGTGACACCTGGAATTATTTTTAAAATTAATTTTATAATTTTTTTAACAAATAAATTATGAGGAAAAAAATTGACATTTAAAAATTTTAAATAAAATTTTTTGGAACGAATTTATTTAAAAAAAAAACATTAAAAATTGTCAAGTGACAGCTAAATTTAATATTATTAATTAAAGAAAATTAATTAAGAAGATATTTGAAAATTTTTTAATAAATAAATTATGAGAAAAAAAAAATTGACAAGTCAAAATTTAAAATTACATTTTTTAAAAACAATTTATTTGTTAAAAAAATTAAAAAATAATCAAGAGGTTCCTAACTTTGATGTCATTAATTATTTTCAGATTAAAAAATTTTGATTTAATTTGTACGAATAATTAATTAATCAAGTGTTTGTAATACTTATTGCTATTACGTACCATTTGTCAGAAGAGATCATGTTTCTTCTGTTTAGGAACAGGCATCTGGACACCTGACTGTAGTTCCGATAGGACATTGCGAATGACAGGAAGAGGAAGTCAACCACATCGAGCTATACCAACCAGGATCAAGTTGACCGATTTTAGTAATATGTGTATAGAGTCATTGACGCGGCATCATTGGGCCCTTTTTTTAAATATATAATATATATTGTTCTATATAACGTTCTCAGTAACTTTGAGCAACGGCTAGCTCCCACCGGGGATAAGTTTACACTTACGCTCGATTGGATTCTGGGTATTTACATAAAGACCCACTCTTTTATATTTTAATTATTTTTTTTACAGATGTTCCGTTGCTTCAACGCTCGAAGAAATTGTTTTTACAGAATTTTTTGAGTGAACAGCATCAACTTAATCAATTAATTTCAAAAGATAATTGAAGAAAATAAATTTAATTACAATTTTACCAAGTTTTGGATTAAGAAAAAAATTATTTAGAGTTTTTATCAGTAAGTAATTAAATAAAATTAAATAATTAATTTTTTAAGTGGAATTATCAAAAACAAGATGGCGGATTTGTGAGGTAAAATTTATTGTAGTGAAGTTAGCCAACAGCTGTCAATTTTTAAATTTTATTTAACGAACAAATGTGTTCCAAAAAATTATTTTTTAGATCTAATTTAATAAAAGAAAAAAAAATTAAAAATGGCGGCTAACTTTAGTATTAATGACATTAAATTTAGCTGTCACTTCACAATTTTTTTAATTTTCTTTAATAAATAAATTATAGCGTGAGGTAAAATTTATTGTAGTGAAGTTAGCCAACAGCTGTCAATTTTTAAATTTTATTTAACGAACAAATGTGTTCCAAAAAATTATTTTTTAGATCTAATTTAATAAAAGAAAAAAAAATTAAAAATGGCGGCTAACTTTAGTATTAATGACATTAAATTTAGCTGTCACTTCACAATTTTTTTAATTTTCTTTAATAAATAAATTATAGCAAAAAAAAAATTATTAAAAAAATGGACTTGTAGAAATTTTAATTAATTAAAAATGCAATTTTTTAGAAATAATTTCTTAGAACAAATTGTTTTGTTAAAAAAAAAATTAAAATATTGTCAAGTTATTACTTATTAAAGTTAGCTTTCACTTGACCATTTTTGAATTTTATTTAACAAAAAGTTTTGATCCAAAAAATTATTTTTAAAAAATTGCATTTTTAATTTATTAAAATTTTTAAGTGTCCATTTTTTTATACAGTAATTTATGACACTGAAGTTTTTATAGTTTTTCAAGTTTTTTACATGTGATATTTTTTTTTTTTAATTGTTTAACTGATATTTTTTCGATAAAAAATTTCCAAAAGTCAGCTAACTTCATTTTCAATGACACTGAAGTTAGCAGGCGTCTAAAAATTTTTGATTTTTTTTTTTTAATTAAATTACAACTATAAAAAAATATTTATAAAAAATTGCACTTATAGTTTTTCAAGTTTTTTACATGAGCAATTTTTTATTTTTTTTTTTTTGTAACAATTTTTTCATTAAAAAATTTTTAAATGTCGGCTAACTTAATTTTTATTAATTTTCATCAGTTAACTTCAGTGTTATTAAAATGACAGCTTCAGTTTAACAATCATCATGCGACAATGAATTTTTACAAAGAAAAAGGTAATAAATAAAATAATTATTTACTCTAAAATAATCAGAAATCTAATTTATCTATTAAGCATTAGGATTTGCCGGAGATTGCAATAGGGGTTGCAATTGTGGCTTGCCACCTGTGTTTACTCGCACCTGAGTTAAAAGGGCATTGAATAAAGACCAGTTTTACAATGAAACTGTAACAATTGTTACAACTGGTGGGCGTGATGTTGGGATTGAAGATCACGTAAGATAAATAATAAATGAAAATAGTTGAATGATTGACTGGGAAAAGTGGTTGACAGTGATATTGTCTGATGCGTAAAACACAATCAAGCTAAGTGATTGCTCTTGGGATAATCCAGCACGTGATAAGCCCCCGTAATTAATTCTGCGGCATCCCTATCTGGAGATAGATAACGGAGCATCAGGTCTTTGGGAGCTGGGTCCAGGATTCGATGACAGATTGTATCTTGTCACGTTAATCGAGTGACGCCGTCGTACAGGATCCTTGCTTGTGCTATTGATTCTAATGAAAAGATTAGAGTCGCTGTGTATATTATACTTTTGATCGGTGGTGGACTCGCTGATCCGTAGCCAGACTTGGGCTGAGAACAACACGAGCTCTGGTAGTAGAGCCGGCTTGGCACGCGCCCCATGTAATTTAATCGGGTATTTCTTGTTAAGACGACCGAGACCAAGACACATTGCGACTACGAGCTAAAGCTTTAAATGACAACCAACAGAATAATCCTACTTGGGTTAAAAAAATATATCTGTTATTTTATTATATTTTATTTATTATTTTTTTAGTGTTACTTCAAGCAGATGCTAGTTTCAATTTTCATTTTTAAACTCTTTTGAGGTAATAAGATATCTTTTAATTATTTTATTTAATTATTGTCTTGTTCTTTTCTTCTTAGTAATTTTTTTTTTATTAATTTAAATTTAGAATTTTGGATAAATTATATTTAAATCAGCTGACAATTTTTAGGAAAATTTATTTTAACTAACAACCTTGCAGTCACTATGTGAGCTAAAAATAAGTAAAATTTTGCTTTATTGAATAATGACTTTTGTTAAATTGCACTGTACTTTTTTAAATATTGACATTATTTAAGATATAAGCTCATTCCGATGTTATACTCATCAAGAGCTTTCATTTGAATACCCACATGAATTTTTAATATATTTTTCATATATATGTATATATAATATATATATAAATATATAAAATATATGAAAAATTCATGTGGGTACTTAAATGAAAGGTTTTGGTGGGTGTAACATCAGAATAAGCTTATATCTTTAAAAATGTCAATAATTAAGAAATTATATTGTATTTTGTCAACTTGTGATATTTTTAAAGATATAAGCTCATCATGATGTTACACTCATTGAGACCTTTCATTTGAGTACCCACATCAATTTTTCATATATTATGGATATTTATATATATATATATATATATATTATATATACATATATATGAAAAATATATTAAAAATGCATGTGGGTATTCAAATGAAAGCTCTTGATGAGTGTAACATCGGGATGAGCTTATATTTTTAAAAATGTCATTAGTTGATAAGATACAATGTCATTTCTTAATTATTGACATTTTTTAAAATATGAACTCATTTCGATGTTACACTCATTGAAACCTTTCATTTAAGTACCCACATGGCATTTTTGATATATTTTTGATATATACATATATATATAATATATATATATAAATATA